TCGCGTGACATTTTCACGACATATTAATTACGATGACTCTTTCACAATGACCTTTTGGAAATAAGAGTTCGTGTTTTATTCTTGCATTAAATTACACAATCTTTCTTTCTCGTCAAATTTTATCAAAAAAAATTATTTCATTTTAAATTTCAAAAGTGTAATTTACACATTTATATATAAGTTCAGCTATAGAAAACAGCAATGTTTAACTGAAAATTTTGTAGATATCCGTCAAATGGAAACTGACGTTTACTTTAAATAACAAGATTTCACAGAAGCAATAATTAATTGACATTTCGTTTCTGTTTTTTTTTTTGGCGATATATTTAAAATTTCATTATTTTTTATATCAAGGCAGTGAAATTGGCAGTGATTGTTTGATCGATAGTTCGTTGTAATAGCGCGCATGGGGATAGACAAATCTTTTAACACAGTTAAGAGACGAGTAAGAAGAAGACCCTGTTCTTTCGATATTTTAAGATCTTGAGAAAGAATTTACCGCGAACTTAATGCTCGCTGCAAAAGATGCCTCCGAAGAAGAAGAAAGAAATCGTGCCAAAGGAGGAAGTGCAGGAATCTACTGAGTAAGGAAACGGACACGAAACGTGGGGACGAATCATCCCAAAAATTTAGTTACGTTTTCGTTATTGTTGATTTTACATTCTACAGTTATTAATTATATACAACGTAATAATTTGTAAATAAATTTATAATAATTTTTAAACAAACTCCATTATATTTTGAATCTTTTATGTTTTTTGTTTTTTTTTCGAAAATTAAATGGAAACCGAAATATTTGAAATATCTTTTCACGAAAATAAATAAGAAATATAGGTTAAGCGATATTAGGTCCGTTTATGTAGACCAGAACCGGAAATTGTGGAGACAGCCGAGTTGGAACCCCCGAAACAGGTGTCCTTGCTCACTGGTGAACCCTATGGACCTCGAATTCGTTTTGTCAGCGAAAAAGCCGAGGAGGAGAGCTCGGACGACGAGCCAGAGTCCGAAGATGAGGAGGAGGCGAGATATCAGGAAGATCATCCGGAAATGCCTTCCGAATTCTGGCATATACAGAAACTCATCAAGTATATGAAGGCTGGCAATCAAACTGCCACCATGGTGTCCTTGTGTTTAATAAAGGATTATGATCTCACCGACAAGGTAGTCCATTATATTTTTATTATAAGATTAAATTAGGCTGCAAGAAAAAATATCATCTATAATGTTCTAATAATCTAACAAAGTCACAATAATTCTAATAAATTTATTCTTTGCTTCATTATTATTCTTTCATTTATATCAATTTTTTAAATTCTTTAATTTAAAAAGTAATCTCTCTCTCTTTTGTATATCATCTACGCAATCAATTATTTTATAATAAATATATTTGTGAATAGGAAAATAGGTCAAATATGAGCTTAAAAAAAAGATAAAGTTTATTAAGACATTAATCTATATCATAAAAGATCATAAAAGATGTGAGAGTTTTTTACAATTATTAATAAATGGAACGTTTCGACTTTATTTAATAATCTTCAATTACAATAATAAGCATAGTTGTATAAGATTAAAACATTATTAATAAATTATTAGAAATAAAATTAAATATTGGAGAAAACATAGAAAATTAATCTCAACGAAATATCAATTAACCATATCACACAAAGGTTAAACAATATAATACAGTAAATAAATTATTAAATTAAGTCTTTATGTAATAGTTGTCGAAACTTTCTTCATTTAAAGATGAAAAAAGTAGAATCAAATAAGGATAAGATTTTTAAAATCATAAGATAAATGAAGTCAATAGTTAATAAAAGTCTTGAGATTTATCTATGTATAAATAAATTAAATTGAAAGTATTGCACCGAAAAAGGAGTCAATGTTTAAAAAACTTACTTAATTTTTCAAGATATGAATTCTATAGATAGAATCTGCAGAGAAACATGTCTTAAATAATAAAAGGGCTTCTTGTCAGAGCATAAGCTTGTCTATAAATGATAGAAATTGAAAACAGATATGTGTTGTTATGTATAATATATAATGTACAAAAGATTGATATAAATTAATGTTGTGAAAATGAATCTAATAAGTAAAAATATAAATCATCTAATCTCTTAGTGTCTTTCAAAATATATTTGTGATAGTGCAGATCATACAGAAGGCTATCCAAGAAATGGGAGGTCTCGAAGTTTTAGTGAATCTCCTCGAAACGAGTGACATCAAGTGTCAAAACGGCTCGTTGTCGGTCTTACTACAAATCGCGACTTCCACGGAGATGAAGCGATATTTAATTGACTTGGACATTGCAACGCCATTAATACAAATGTTGAAGCATCCCGCCAGAGATATCCAGGTCATTGACCTTTATCAAAATAGCTCCTTCAATTAATTAATCGGCCTAGTTGTTTTTATTAGCTGTGCGTGGAGTATTTAATTTAGAATCCGATTGATTTTGTCAATTCATAAAATGTTCGTCAAATTAAAAATGCTAAAGTCCCAAACATCTTGAATCTAATTTTTCAATTCTTTTTCCACACTTCGTTTCATCGTGTTATATAATGTTAATTTGTAATCCTCGCAGGTTTTGGCAGCCGAAACTATGGCCATTATAGCTCGAATCAGGAAGGCCAGAAAACAAATTAGAATTCGCGGTGGAATACCGCTCATCGTAAGTTATCCAATCCACCAGTATTCGAATAAGACAAATAAGTTGTCTCAAGATTATTTCAAAATTGCTATGTATAAAATATTGAACCTCTAATACATACAAACGATGATATTTCGATATTATCGTTTTTATATATTATTTTACTCCACGTGATGAATTATTCATGTTCCAAATCAATCAAATTTTATCACTTTTATACAAGTACTTATACAAAAATTTGTATATTTTACGTATATTTCAAAACATCTTTAGAAAGTATTGTATTTGTAGAGTAGTGTATTTAAAAACGGAAAGGAAAGGGTAGAACTATTATTTAAGTATTTAAAAAAAAAGAAATGTGCAGAAAAATGACAAATGACCCGTGGGTATTGAGAATTAAATATTTGTTTTCCTCTCAATGTGAGCAGCATGACAATCTATTGATTCTTTTTGTTTGACAGCTGGACGTAATGGATGTGCCCGACGAAGTTCTTCGTCGGCCATACGATGAATTAAGCGAGGCCAACAAAGAACTCGTGGACGTCGCCATAGGTTGTGCCAAGGTTTTAGATTCTTTAGGCAGCAGTCCGAAGATCAAGGAGGAACTTCGTAAACATGGTGTTGTTCGCTTGATGTCCCGTTTTCTAAAATCGAGACACACTCAGCTAATCGTACCCACGATGGGCGCCGTACAGCAGTGTGCTGATCTGGTTTACTGAATTTTATTTGCTATTAATAGTGTTAATTAAAATAATTTAATGTATCAATAAAATAATTTAAATCAATTTTAACAATATATATATATATATATAAATTATGAAAATTATTTATGGAAAATATAGTTATCATTATATTAATAATCGAAAACAAGTTAAATATTATGAAATTTAAATATCAGGGAAATTTAAATATCAATATCCCGGATTTGTCATTGTTATTCAAAATCCATGGCACTGTCGCATTTATTAAAATCGTAATTAATTAAACTATCTATTTTCAAAATTTTATTATAAATAATCCCTTGTGCGGTGCCAATATTTATTGGCGCATCTGTAGAATGTTTTCAGAGAGGCATTTGAGCGAGAGGGCATCATCGACGACTTGGTGCGACATTTGAAGAACGACAACGTGAAGCTGAAGGAGAACTCTGCCTTGGCCATCTTCAAATGCGCTTCTAATCAGGAAACTCGAATGATGGTGCGTCGAGCTGGCGGTCTGGACCCACTTTGCAAACTCGTGCAGAGCGAGGAGGTGCACGCCAATAAGCGCCTGCTGGCTGCGGTCACCGGTGGCGTCTGGAAATGTGCCATCAGCCCCGAGAACGTAATGAGATTCAATCAAAACGATCTGGTAGCGTCATTGGTGCCTCTGCTCGAGGAAAACGAGGATGAAAGGGTGTTAGCCAACGTTGTAGGCGCTCTCGCCGAGTGCTGTAAGGATCCCACTAACAGGGACGTCTTGAGGATTAAGGAGGGTCTACCGAAACTGGTAAAGACCATTCAAAGTCAGGAGTACACTTCTATCTGTGCTTTTCTTCTCTCCCTCCCTCTCTCTCTCTCTCTCTCTCTCTCTCTCTCTCTCTCTCTCTCTCTCTCTCTCTCTTTGGATCAAACTTTGCTTATCTGTGAACTCTTGCTTGTACATTAGACTTATAAGAAGGAATTTATACAGATGATCTCAAAGATGATGTAATGGAGAATCGAATATTTTTTTCTTTTCCGAATAAGATAACTTTTATGTGCGTAAAAATATCTATTTGAGTCAATTATTTATTCGTGTCATGTGTTCTAATAATTGAAATATTGTATCAAAAGGGAAAAATTGTTTTAAAAACTGAATGTGTTATATTGCAGATAGTAGAGATTCCTTGCATATTCAGAATAAATATTCAGATCAATATAATAAAATCGATAGTAATGGTTCTTTTAATGATCCTCGAGCAATTACTAGATGAATTCTCATCGTATATGTTAACAATTTAATGATTAACAATTATCAATTTTATTGGAATATAGCTGCATTGACCCATTTAACTTTAATTATCCCATTGGAATTTATATGAGAGATAATTTCCAAATGAAGCGAAAATTGGATTGTGTATCGGAAGGTTGCAAGTACCATTCTCGATGATTAATCGAGTTAACGTGCGCTACACCAATCCCATGACGATCGATGTTTCCTCGTTACTCCAGTATTTGCGATACCGCAGAATGAGTGCTTCAGGGACCTTTGCAGATTAGACTATTGAGCGCCACGTACGAGCCATTATTAGAGAACGTGCCACTGGTGCTGAAAGAGTGTGCCGTCAATGAGAAATGCATGGACATTATCAACGACGCGGAGCATCAGCTGGACGGCGTGCGATTAGTCTGGTCCCTGCTGAAGCATTCCAGTGATGTGATCAAGCGTAATGCTTGTCTCGCTCTGGTACCCTGCATCCGCCACGCAAAGGATTCCCCTGAGATGGTGCGCGCCTTCGTGGGCGGCTTGGAGCTCACAGTCAGTCTCCTGGAGAGCAAAGACACGGAAGTGCTCAGCGCGGTCTGCGCCATGATCGCGGAGATTGCCACCGATCCTGAGAACCTGGGC